CATGGAGATTCTCCCACCTCTCACTCCTCTGGGCGCTGGGGCCAGTCCTGCCCACAGCCCCTCTCCCCAAGGCGGGGAGATGAGGAAGCCCCACGAGCCCACAGCCCGGCGCGTGCCCTCTGCCGTTGAGTGCATGCCGCCCAACTGGTGGGTCAAATCCTTCTCCTGGAGATGCGTTCCGCTCCGCGGCGAACGGCTATACGACCGGAACTCAGCGCGCCCGCCTTCAGGGCCTGCCCCACGGCGAACTCGAAAGGGCTCCGAGCGCCCCACAACCTCGTGGCAGCAAAGCGAGCAGAGGCGCAGGGAGGATCCCCCGCAGCGCCGTCCCCGCGTTCCCTCCTAAGAGCTCCCGACGGATTTCCAGAAGGTTTGAAAAGCTCCGAAGAGTCAAACAGCGTCAGGAACACCTGATGCCGCCCTAGCCCAGCATCCCCACTAATGAACCGCGGTACCTCCAGGAAGATCAATTAATGCCCTGGCTCTTTGCCTTCCCGGGTCCTTTCTCCGAGCATCGGGGGCGAGTATGTATATTTATTTATTTGTCGTCATTTCCTACCCAGGGAGGAGCAGGATAATGAACTGCGTGCGTCAGGGAAGATGAATCTGAGATACTAGGGAGCAGTGCAGTAAAGAGATTAAAGTGTTATTATTGTTGGGTTTTTTCCCCCATGGTCCGTTGTGACAGCTCGGCCGTCATCTGTAAAAAATGTCTCAGAGAGAGATAATCATCGGAAACTCAATAAAGCGTCAGGGGAAGCCTCGTCTACCATCAATCACTGGGTGCCTGGAAATTTTCAGCCCTCTGTCTCCCTTCCTGCCATCCATATAAATGTCTGTAATATATTTTGTGCAGTGTTTGTGGAGCGTACCCTCTCGATTTGGATGTTTTTATGAAAAAATATTTATACGCGAAATATGTAAATGGGTAAAAAAAAAAAAAAAAAAAGTAAAAAAAAAAAAACCCACAAAGGCAGTTTCTCTCTCTCCCTCTCTTTTTAAAAATGCAACTGAATTTATTCTTTTTAATAAAACATGTCAACCAAAGAATTAATGCAACTTCGTACTGAGTGGCCTTATCTTTTCTTCACCCCAAAAATATATAACGTTACAGAGGGACGGATGCAGACAAAAACAATTAACTTTGTTGGTTGATATACTTTGTC